GTTTTTGTTTTTTCAGAGTTTGCTGAAATCAACTTAGAATCAAATTTTTTTTATTAAACAAATTCAACTCTGAAGTACTTAAAACAAAAACATGTGGGAGAACAATTACAAGTTCAGTTTCTATAAGTTCTTTAATTCAATGGTTCAATTTGCTCTGGTCAGGTGCACCCAGCTGGGCAGCAAACACTCTTTGTCATGTAGTCGTTTCCACTAAAAGATAAGTACCAAGATAAGTAAAATTGATAAGTACCAATAATTTCTATTTATTAATTCTTAACCAAGTTAAATAGGAAAATGGGCCCTAACATTTCTTAGAAATAATAAAGTTAAAGAAATAATGTACAGTTAAAGCCCGAGGTGTCATACCTTGTTGTGCCACTTAGTCCATAACAGACCAAAAATATTATAGCCCCAAAAGCAAGAAGTGCAGCACTAGGCCAACGAAATGTTGAATAAGCAGAAGTATGGTGATAAGCATCAATCAACCACTTTCTTACTCCTTGTTTACTTGTACATTGATGCTGAAAAATAAAATGACAGATATTAAACCTAAATCATAGCAACTAAAATGTTAAGGAATTATTTTACAGCCCAGTCAAATAAATATTCATGTGTTACTGTTAAGAACAATGAAATTAGCTACTTCTGTATAAATTTTATTGCTATATTCACCTGCTGGATGTCTAACAATTAGCTAGCTTTTAGCTTGCATATTAGTGGCTTAAATTTAAATTATATATCTATCTTATCATGAGAAGGTTCAGGAATTATCATTCAAACAAACATAACACACTGCTCTTATTAGAATTTTAAACCTTGCAATAAAATCACTTTAACCATCAACCTAAGTTTTGCAACTTACAATATCTACTCTTAGCCAATAGACTTAGTTTTCATAAAAGGGAAAGAAAAGTCATAAACATAATTGAACAAGTTAATGAATATGAAATTCCAACAGAGAAGCTATATACTCATTAGAAAACTAAGAATCAATATGGTAATAATTATAGTTCATTATATATACTTTTTTTACATTCTTATTTGTAAAGATTAGAATTCAATGCTTCATCGGTTGAATACCCTTGCTGTTAACAATATTTTTGGCTATGAACCAAATATTTCTCATGAGGTTTGGCCAGATTAGAATATTTAGGTTAGTCCTAAATCCATACACTAAGCTGATATTGCAAAATAGTCTTTATAATAAGTGTATTAAAAGTAAACAAAAGAATTAATCAAATAGCAGTGAATTACTTTTACATATAGAATTTAATGTTTAGTTTTGGTTTACCATAAAAAAAATTAAATAAAGACTTTACAAAACTATATCCTAATTAGAATACATAAGCAATATTGATTAAAATACAAATTAACTAAAACAAAAAGGTGAATACCTGAAAAATATACTTAAACAACCTTGACACTATTGCAGCTGTTCAGAAATACATTCATGTTTAATGAATCAAATTTACATTTCTATTTTTGAAAATAAAGGACAAAAAATTTGAGATCAGCTGTAATCAGTATCAACTTGGCATGATAAATAGAGATTATGATATGTCTCGTGCTTTGTTTTTTTTATATCCCAAGCTTATACCATTTTAAAATCCAGTTCAAGATTTACACAGTGGTTTAGGAGTTAATTTTTCCGATCCTTTTATTGGGATTAAAAAGATTATTTACTTTGATAACTTGAAGATTGTTGACATTCAAATCAGAGGTTAATCTTACTAATACTCAATTTATGGTATGATATGTTATTTTCATACAGTAAATCAATTTGCATATGTAACTTAAATAAAACAGATCTTTCTAAGTATTTAAATAAAATAAATCTTAAGAAAACTAATATTTCTATAAAATGTGTATTGGGGCTGGCTACTTTTATAGAAAGATTATCACTTTTGTAATACAATTCAATATTTTTAAATAACAGTGAATATAATTAATTATACTTGTCATAAGACATTAGTATTAGGCCCATTATATTTTTTAACATTACATTCTTTATCTAGTTCATTTGAACCACACTAGGTTAGCCATTTCCATTGCCAATGATGCATTTTTGTCAATCTAGAGCTAATCAGGCTGGCTGGGACAAAGACAGCAATGGTTGTAACACTATTTATATAAGCCATCTACGTTATTGTTCAGTAATAATCAAATCCAACTTAAGATGTAACATTCCTGACCAACATTTAATATTGGAGTTTTAACCATTAAAAATGCAATGAAACATTTTATTAATTACTTTGCACTTCTGACCACTAAATAATTTTTTTCCTATTTTCTGAGAACTTTATACACATAAGTATTTTTTAAATATGCACAAACTATATATTTGTGACTATATATGGTTAGCTTCACATACAATATCAGACAGCAGTGAGAAATTCATTTTTTAGCATATATACACTGAACCGCAAAAGAAACGTCGCAGTAATTAGAGGAAAAAATGATACAAGAGTGAATGCCATATTTTTATTGAATGAACGTATACAAACCAAAGTTATTGCACAAATTCA